TCAGCTAGGGTTAGGTCGTAGCTGGTGGTGCTCCTGCAACAGAGGTCAGGCAGTTTAAGAATTTACTTTTCTTCAGTTCAGATGCAGGATCTGTTTAAGTATGTGCTCTTCGCCATTTTTCTTGCAAAATTCACTTCAGTCTCTTTCAGATACCATTTAAACCGCTTGAGAGGTCTCACAAGGTCACACGATATATGAGGTTGGCAGTCATCTACAGGGGTTATTTAGTCCAATCTCATTCTCAAGCAGAGTTACCTACAGCAGGTTGCTCAGGGCTGTGACCTATGAAGTTTTAAATATTTCTACAGATAGAGACTCCACAGACACTTTCTTCAACTCAATTTGCTTTTTCTTATTTTTTAGTTGTATTCCTTGTGTTTCAGTTTGCACGTATGATCCTTTCTGTCACTGGGCACCAGTGAGAAGAGTCTGACTCCCTCTTTATTCATTCTCTTTTGTTGGGTGTTTGTGCATACTGCTGAGACCTCCACTGAACCATCTCTTCTCCAGCTTAAGCAGTCCCAGCTCTCTCAGCCTCTCCTTATACCCAAGATCCTTGAGTCTCCTCTTCAGGGCTGTCTCACTTCTTTGCTGTCTCACTCCAGTAGTCCATCTCACTTGTATCTTGAAGTCCAGAACTGGGCACATCACTCCAAATTTGGTCTTACCAACGCTGAGTAGATGGGAAGGATCCTTCAGCCTTCTCACAACAGTGCTCCTACTGCAGCCCAGAAGGCTGTTGACCCTCTCTGTTGCAAGGACACATTGTGGGCTCATGGTCAGCTTGTTGTCCACCAGGACCCCAAGGCCTTTATTTTAAAATTGCTTTCCAGACAGGTGACCTGCTTTTCAGCTATTTCACTGGGAAATGTCTCCCACATGTACCTGAAAAACTGTGTTACTGTTTTTCAGATGGCTTGTGACAACTTCAACCAGCAAAAGTCACATGAAAACGTATGTTGTAACACCCAGCCAGCAACCATGCAGCTGCTTGCTCACTCCCCCACCAGCTAGAAAATGTGTGGGTTGAGATAAAGGCAGTTTAACAAGGAAAGCAAAAGCCATACATTGAAGCAAAGCAAAACAAGGAATTAATTCACTGCTTCCCATGGGCCAGCAGGTGTTCAGCCATCTTCAGGAGAGCAGGGCCCCATCATGTGTAATGGTTACTTGGAAAGACAAACACCATCACTCCAAACATCCTCCCCCACCTTCCTCCTTCTTCCCCCCACTTTAAATACTGAACATGATGTCATATGGTCTGGAATATCCCTTTGGTCAGCTGGGGTCAGCTGTCCCAGCTGTGTCTCCTCCCAGTTTCCAATTCACCTCCAGCCTCCTTGCCAGTGTGTCACTATGAAAAGCAGAAAAGGCCTTGTCTCTGTATAGGCACTGCTCAGCAGTAATAAAAATTATTTTATCAACACTGTGTTCAGCACATATCCAAAACACGGCCTGTTACTAGTCACTGTGAAGAAAATTAACTCTACCTCAGCCAAACCAGCCCATCATATCTGAGTGCCCTCACAGTATTTGGTTTAACACCTGATTATCTAGCTATTTAGCCCATATGGGTCAAGGACAGGACCATTACTTTGAAATAACTGCCATGCCACTTGTCTTCTAAACATGCCTTCTGGGATGCTCTCCCTTATGGAAGTTTTTTATCCTTTGCAGACAGGGCTGTTTATTGTAGCCAGAATGGTGACAGCACGTGTTGTCCTGGAGCTTTAGCCATTTCTGGTTTCTTCCTGCAGCCTTGTCTAGAGATGTCAAAAATAATGTTGATTGAAACGCCTCACTGACTAGTGGTTACTGTGGCAGTCTCTATTTTCTCTTTATGTCAAGGTAGATGTCGTGGCTAGGATGTGAAAGAAGACAAAAAGACCTGGGCTTATCATATGAACAGATTCAGTGTGTGTGTCCTTCCCCTCTGTTTCCCTGAAAACTTCAAAATTAGGCTTGAGGACAGAACAACTGCTCTTTCCTTGCTTGTGTCTGTAACAGCAGCACCTCAGTTGAATGTAGATCAGTTCTCTCGAACATTCAGTGCTGAGCTGCTAAGAACAGAAGACAATATCCAGAGAACGTTTACAACAAAGTCTGAAGTTTAGGATGAAGAGCAAATGAGATGGAAAAAAAGCTTTTCTTCACTAGAAGTAACAAGAAACCTTAGTTGAAATGTAGTGTAACATTTTTGTTCTCATAGTACATTTCTTTACAGTCAGTTAACAGTGATACCACAGTGCAGCATTTTGCACATTTACGAAGTGACTTTGAAATCAGAGGTGAATTAAAAGAGCCTGTGAGGATCCTGAAACTGCATTCTTGTTCTCAGTGTCCTGTGTGCTGAATAACTGCAAAATCAATGCTAAAGTATTTAAAATCTTCTTCTTGCCTAAGAGATAAAAGGAAGTTATGCAATTTTGTTTCTTACATGATGAGCTGAGCTGACATTATAACTTAATGATAGCCTAGAATTAGTGCTTAGAGGGAAAAAATAGTCTCTTTCTGCTGCTGAATTCTGTTTCCTAAGTAACTAGTGTATTTTACTGTCTGAGAAGCTTTAGGTAGAGAGAAGCTAAAAAGAGATAAACTTGATAGATTATTGAACCCAAATCAGTTCCACTGATCATCAGTGGAAAAAATCTGTTCTAGGGGGTCCAGAAATTAACAGTGTTAGTGGCATTGGTGATCAATAATGTATACACAGTAAGGCTGCTTAGAGAGATTCCTGCAGTAGGAATGTGTGACCCAATTAGGCTGCATTTGCTATGAAATTTTATCTTTCTTGCAATTTCAGTTAGCCTTCCTTGCATTACAGGAAAGAAATCACCAGATGGTCTGAGTAAATTTGCCCTCCATATGTAAGAGTTCCTGTACTACTCTGACCTTGCAAAGAAGGATCCAAAATTTTAGTAGAGGAAGACTGATAGTAGATAGGGACTGTGAGTATTCCAGGTGGGGTTTGTTTGGGGTCCCTGGGTGTCTTTCTGTTTTTAGTGACAGATTTCCCAACAGTGGAAGTGTCAACAGGCTTGTGGTTCAGCTAGCTGAATGGAGACAGTCATGTTTGAAGTTCGTATTATTTCTCATGTGACAAAAAAACCCCCGTGTATAACAGCCCAGTCTTGTGAGGCTTAGAATCAGTTTCCCCATGCTTCTCTGTGGGAGATGTAAAGGGGACATTTCTCTGTCACATTTTGGGGGGTTGGGGGGTTGTTTTTGATTCAGGGTTGCTTTCAGTTTAGAGCTCTGGGAAAACATCTGACCTGGAAAAGAAATGTGGAGAGAAAAAGGAATTGCCTATCTCTTAAAAAGTTCTTTGGTGTTTATTAGAGGCAATAGTTAATCGGATAACTGCCATAACTCAGTTGTTTAGAGCCTGGTGCTAATAGCACTAAAGTTATGGGTTCAATCCCTGTATGGGCCATTGACTTAAGAGCTGGACTGAATGATGATCACCTTGTGGGTCCCTTCCAACTCAGAATACTTCTGTGATTCTGTGATCACTGGGGCAATTCAGGAGGAATCATTCTGACAGGCTGCAGATGTTTCTGCCTTTAAGGACCAAGGTTTTGGCATCATTATCCCGAGAACTGATGTGGAAAGCAAAAACAAACACAGGCCTCCAAACAGAGTTGACACACCAAAGAGGTAATTTATAGGGGAGACATAAGGGGTTGTGAAAACCTGTGATAATGCAAACAAACAATTATTTGGAAGGACTTTGATGGTGTCTCCTTCCAGCATAAGCCTTTGTAAGACAAGAGATGATAAATATGGATACACGTATATGCCTGTGACTGTGCGTTACAACAAGGCTGTCTGAGATTAATTCAGTTAAGTCTCAGCCAGCAGCGAGCCAATCTGGAGGTGTCCTGACTCAGCAAATAAGGACAGCAACTAACCAGCCACCTCCAGCGTTTTTCCAGGGTGAAGGAAACTATTTTAGTAAATGATGTGGAGTGTTTTCCTGCTCCAGGCAAGGTACAAGGCAGCTTCCAAAGGACATGTGTCTTTACTTCATACATGTAACCAGGCTTGATCCTACTGCAACTCTCTGGTGCTCTGATAATGCAGTATCACAGTACATGCTTTCCCCTTTCCCCAGCATCTGCTTTCCTGCCCAGCTGAATGACTGACAGTGATTTGCTAATAGAAGTGTCTCTGAAATATGGGGTGAATGGGTTTATGCAGCCCTGTAGGGACAGGAGGGCATGTAGGAAGTCACCTCTTTGAATGACTGTGCAAGGGCTTTGTACAACAGCAAAAAGCTGTCTCAGGAACACACAGGGATTGAAAATTTGGGACCAATGTGTATTCAGGGCTAGAAAAAGGACAAGGCAGAGCCAGGATCTTATTTACATACTAAGCATTAGAGGTGATGGTGTCCAAGGGCAGATAAGAGACAAGCAGAGATGCTGCTTCTTTCTGATACACAGTAAGAGCCTAGAATTCGTCAACAACTCTGAATGTTTGTTAGTGCTGTGTGGTCCTACTTGCCATGGGGTGTGTAATTTCTGACAACCATTAAGGCTGTGATTACTCATCCCTGCAATCAAGATTTCAAATTCCTTTCCTAGCCCTGGTGTCGTTTCATTCTGGAGGTATTACCTACCTATTACATTAAAGACCCTTCAAAATCAATCTTCAGCCACTTGACTGAACTGATGAAGTGAAAACATTGTGTAGGCAGCTTGTCCCCTTCAGGACTGCAAACCAGTTATGCTGCCATCATGCAAGTCTACAGATGTAGTCTCTTCCTTTTGCTGTGGTGCTTCTCTTGCCAGTGCTGGGTAACTCATCTGGTCAGGCTGAGTGCTTTGCCCACCTCCTGCCTCCGGGGGAGAGTGTGCTGCCTCCTCAGTAGAAGGTGAAACCTTTCCAGGTGCAGAGCAAGTGAAAGATGGTCCTGAGTGTGGGGAAGGAGAAAGCTGGCATCATGGTGGTTTTCATTGCATTCTAACAAGGCTTATTTTCTTTTGTGCTTTCTCCAGGGGCTACCAAAGACATGGGGAAGATGCTGGGTGGAGATGAGGAGAAAGACCCAGATGCTGCCAAGAAAGAAGAGGAACGACAGGAAGCCCTCAGGCAACAAGAGGAAGAGAGGAAAGCCAAATATGCCAAGATGGAGGCTGAAAGAGAAGTTATGAGACAAGGGATTCGAGACAAGGTAGGTGTCTGGCTTTCAGCACACGCTGATCAAATCAATGCCCAGTGGAGAGCAGCTGTTTTCAGATGATTTGTGACTAGTTCCCTGAACACCTGAATAGAGCCAGGTAATTACTTTGCCACACTGAACTATCTAATCTTGTGCACTATTCCTTATGCCTGCACTGGGCCAAACTTCCAACCCAATCCTCATAATTAAGGATGGAAACCCGAGTAGGGATGAATTTCTCTGGTGGCATAGTGAATCTTGGAAAGAGTTACTGAGAATAGTTCTGCAAATAAGGAATTTGGGATTATGCTTCTAAGAAAAGAAAGGACTTGGAGGAAATTGTCTACCCATGACTCTGCCAGAGAAAGGTTTGTTTAGAGCCTAGTGCTAATAAATAATATGATTATTTAAAGGAGGGTGCTAGTTACAAGACAGACAGATGCAGAAGCTCTACCTGGTCAAAATTTGTTGTTTTATAATCAGAGAACCATAGAATGGTTTGAGTTGGAAGGAATTTTAAAGATCATCTAGTTCCAAGCCCTCTGCCATTGGTAGGGATACCGTTCACTAGATCAGGTTGCTCAGGACCCCATTTGACCTGACCTTGAACACTTCCAGAGATGGGGCATCCACAGCTTCCCTGGGCAACCTATTCCAGTGCCTCACTGACCTCTGAAGAAAGAGCTTCTTCCTAATACCTACTCTAAACCCATCCTCTTTCAGTTTAAAACCATTGCCCTTGTCCTGTCACTACGTGCCTGTATAAAAATTTCCTCCCTTTTTACAAATCCCCTTAAGGTACTGAAGTTTGCAATGAGGTTTCCCCAGCGCCTTCTCTTCTTCAGGGTGAACAACCCCAGCAATAATGTATTTAATGAATATATATCTAGAGAGTTTAGTATACTGGTATAAGCATATCAATGTGTGCATCATATGTTTAATATATGTTTATAGGTGGAACTGTTTCTAAACAATTCCATGCGTCAGGAGGGTGAAAGAAAAAGTAATGAATTTCTGAGTTGCAGGCAAATGAGCTAATGCCCTGTTTCCACTGGTCACTATCTCTTCTGCCAGACCATTGAAGTGTTCCTAGAGGTAGATGGGGGTTGCGTTTTTCTTGCTGCTGGGCAAACTGCTGTGCAAGCATTTAAAAAGTCTGAGATGCACATTGTTATAATTTCAAGGTGATCACATTCATGAGTAGGATGTAGCCTGAGCTTGAGTCAAGCATCCAGCCAGTGGGTATTTCCCTGTGATGCTAGCAGCTATCTAGACTTTGCCGAATTGCCTGAGTACTGGGTGGCAAAGTCTCTTGGAAATGCATTGAATCCCTGAGCAATATGGCAAGGAGTTGGGTCTGCAGAGAGAGAGAGATCAAGAATACTTGGAGGAACATTATCTGGCCTCAGTCAAGGCTCTGGACTGCAGCTTTTCTAATGGTGTGGTGGACTACCTTTGAGATTAGCATCAGAAGGTCCTGCTTTGGGCAGGACACCAGGATTGTGAAAACAGAGGGGCTTGGTTTCCTATGGTTTTCTTTCTCCTGTGAGTGATCCAGGTAGCATGCATTTGAAAAATGATGGTGTTTTTCTGTAGAATCAGAAAAGATGAATAAGGCTGTAGAAAGGAGCTGGTTTTTTTTTTTTTTTTTTTTTTTTTATGTTTGAGAATTCATGAAAGAGACATTACTGCATCCTGACAAAGAGATGAATTTGATTATATCCAAGGCTCTGTCTTCAAGTAGTGTCGATTGGTGGCTGGAAATACAAAACAAATGTTGAAAGAATCAAAGAAATAGCTAGATTATTTCCCCCATTGCTTGATTATTTAGAAATTACCTTAATTTCTTTGCCAACTCCAGTGAAAGCAAAAAATGTATAAAAGGAGAAAACTGAAACAGAAGTTTTGTCTAGTATGTATACATACACAAGTTGTTTTGAACAGGTATGGATTAAATCCAGGACACTTGAAGTTTTAGACAGCTCCATGATGATATTTCCTCATTTCTCACAAGAAAGAGTGAGAAATGAGCAATTAAGTCGAGTGAATGAGTAGGAACAGATTATTTACACAGAATACAGGATTGAAAGTGCGTGTCCTAGGTCATGAACCCACAGTCACAAAGTTAGTCCTTTAGTGCAGCTGCAGGATGTTGGGGAAACAAGCCATGAAATCGCATGTTCGTCAATTAGTTAATAACATTCTGGGTGAGGCTGACAGAAGGGACAGACTGATGATGTTTGTTGGTTTTGCCTTGGCTTTCCAACAAATGTGATGAATGCACTCTCTTGTTTAGGGCTTCAGGAAATGTGGGAGCTATGGCAAGCTTGAAAGGAATAATGACAAATGCCACAGCTTGTGTTAGCTTCTGGTTTTAAATCCAGTCTGTTAAATTGAGAGGCATATGCCCTTAGCCCAGCATGGCAGCTGGGCACAGAAATGACTTAGGGAAAGAATAGTATGAATTATGCAGAAATCAGATATTTTTTTCAGTAAAAAATATGCTGCACTCTCATTTGGAAATTAATTTTTAAGAATGATATTTGGACATGACATTTTGAAATAACTGGACTACCAGTTGTCTAAGCTTCTACCCACTGTAGTCCAGCATCTGATAGTGAAAATGGACTGAAAGAATGTAAAGAACATAACTGGGGTACACTCCAGCTTCTCCCTACCCCAAGAGATGTGTATGCAGCTTGCCTTCTGATCTGATCTGTTCTTGGTCTTAATATTAATGCCTCACAGATCTTCTGAGCCCTATTATAGCTGCCCCTTGGAAGAGGTGCCACACTTGACCAACACAGGCAAGAGTGCCAAGAGGCCTTCAGTGCCCCTGTGTCTGGTAGATGAGGCTCTGGATAGCTAATATCCCTGCTACCTTGCTAATACCAAGCACTATCAGCTTGCCATGCTGCAGCAGCTCTTGTTTCCACGGCTCTTGGGTGGAATATGGCCTTCTATAAACAGATGAGCTTGTTTGTGTCTGTGCACACCTGCATACCTCAGCTAATTACTTTCTTCATGTAATAATCTGTACTTACTTATTTACATAATTAATTATTTCCACCACTGTTGCAGAACCTAGTCCTGAGGAAGCCCTAGTCCATGCTTTGTTATTAACACTCTACCTGTCTTGGCTGAAAATGAGACAGTGTCCATAGGCTGGCTTCCTGAAAACCTCACACATGTTTAGGCAGTCAGCATTGCTGAACCCATGCTGAAAAGTAGCAAGAGGTCTGGGCTATCCTCACAATGATGGGTTTAAACCAAAAAGGATGTAAGCGTGGTCCTCTGTCCAGATGTCTTGACTTCAAGACAGAATTTAGGTTTGAATTTAGTCCATGCTTGAGATGGAGCGTGAGCTTCTTCAGTAGTTCAGTTCTCAGAGTAAAAGGGGGAAGTGTCTCTGGCCCATCGTGTCTTTGACCAGCCTTATGTGGTGGTCATGTGCTGTACAGCACATGGTTTTGATTTATGTGCTACAAAGCAGAACATTAGTTATATTAATAAGGGTTCTTGTGCTTATATTATTAAGGACTCATGTTCTGTATAAAGCAGAAGTTTAGTTATATTGACAGAAATTCCCATCCTTCAACTGAAGCATAAAATCTGCATGAAAAGTATGGAAAGGTGTCAAATGGAAAATTCTAATGCTGGAAGAATTAAGGTTGTCTCTGCAGTTGTAATTTACTTTGTTGGGTGCTGCGTAAAGATTGTGCCACAGTGCATGATCATATGTTTATGCTTCTAGGAACCTCAGCTCTCCCACTGCAGAAGACAAAGTCAATTGTTTTCTTAATAAGCAGATGCTTAGTATTTCATCTCTGTCATGTCTTACAGTGTGTGTTTTCAAGCTCATATACTATGTAGTGTTGAAATTCTAAGGGCAATATAATGAATTTCCTCATTTGGTAGTTTAATTCTCTGTTGCTATTATTTTTATGCATTCACTAACATAGTTGAGTTTATCCCAAGCATGGATTCCTCTGAGATTTATCAGGGTGGGGGATAGAGTTTTTTTTAGTGTTTTGTGTTTCCAAGGTATAAAAGTAGAAGGATCATTATGTGAATAAAGCTTTGATGGCAGGAGAACGTTAACAACTTATTACATCAGTGATCCTCAGTGACACAGTAAGAAATGCTCAGGACTTCTTGTCCTTTTGCATGCAATAGGGAATGGTGAAATCTGGGTTTAGTGTTTGTTCCTGCAGGCAGCATATCACACAGCAGGAGAATGTGCAGTCCTTGTTCTGGTTAAGTCCTTCTGTCTCTGGATGTGAGCCACTAATTCTTCCTATTTTTCTTATTGTGCCATTAAATGCTCTCAGTGATTGGGCAGTAAGATTCTCTGCAGTATTTGGAATTGTCCGTAGAATCATAGAATATTTTGGATTGGAAGGGGCCTTAAAGATCATCCAGTTCCAACTGCCCCTGCCATGGGCAGGGACACCTGCTAGATCAGATTGCTCAAAGCCCCATCCAGTCTGGACCTGAATACTGCCAAGGATGTGCCATCCACACCTTCTATGGGCAGCCTGCTCCAGTGCCTCAACACCCTCACAGTAAAGAATTTCTACCTGATATCTAATCTAAACCTGCTCTCTTTCCATTTAAAGACATTCCCCATTGTCCTGTCAGTCTAGGCCCTTGTAAATATTTTGTAGCCCCTTTAGGTACTGGAAAGCTGCTCTAAGTCTCCCTGGAGCCTCCTCTTCTCCAGGCTGAAGAACCCCAAACCTCTCAGCCTGTTTTCGTAGGAGAGGTGCTTCAGCACTCATTTCATCCTTGTGACCCTCCTCTGGACTCGCTCCAACAGGTCAATGTCCTTCTCATGTTGGAGTCCCCAGAGCTGAACACAGTACACTGTGTCTCAGGAAACCATGAAAAATATTCAGTTCTTTGTGGATATTTAAAACTTGTGATTTTCTGGTCTTCCATGCCTTAAGGTGGATGGTATTGGAATTTGCGTCTAAGAAAGTAAGAACATTTGGGTTGCTGGCAACAGGAGC